CTGATGATTAAAATCTCTGATTTTTAGGGGACAGTCCTATCATTAAGTGATCTAACTGAGTTTGATAGAAATGGGACCACAAGCAGGAACAGACAAATGTTTGAGATAGGGATGCACGATAATATCGGCACATCATCGGCATCTGCTGATATTGGCTTTGAAATGAAATATCTGAATCGGCCAACATGCTTTTTCTTATTTTGCACAATGAATGAATATTACATACACTGAAAAGTACTGTATGTCATGTGTCCATCTGCTGGTGGGCCACAATGATGAGAGTATGCATGCATAGTATGATGTTAGTTACACTACAGAAGCGACTACAAGAAGAGACACTAAAATTAGTTAGGGAAAATAGTTGATATACCGATATCGGTGTTGGTCATTAGTCAAATGAGTTGCTATATATTGGCATATTGATGTATCAGATATCGGCAAAAAACTCCAATATCGTGCATCCCTAGTTTGAGGTATGTATTATCTAAATCTTGTTTTACTTTTGTGATAAAACCATTGAAATGTTAATCTAAAGCATTTACAAAACACGGTGTAACAGTGGCACAAACATACACATACACAAAAACAAAGTACAGCTAAGGGTGATAGGCAGTGTTGTAGTGGAGGATGTACTCAGGTATACAGGGTATCCACTTTATTCCTACCCCCATGATACCTTGTGTGAATTATGTGTGCAACTTCCAGTGTTGAACCGAAACCAGCGATTTCCAATGGTAACAGTTTGTTTACAGTACTCTATTCTTCTTTCCATGAGCAACTGGGAAATATAACGTGGAACACACCACCTGGTATAGCTCAAACAGGATTATGTGATCATAACTCTGCCATCTCTGACAGCCATCTCAAAGCATTGTTTTTGTTTTTCCTTTTCAACTGAGCACGCTAGCAATTAGCTTCCTTTGCTCCGTTAGAATATTGTTAACTTTAACATGGCTTGAGCTAGCTTAAGGTAAACATCTGCTCCTTCTAATGATTTCTGATGACTTATCAAGAGATACTAACACATTTGGCAAACATTTAACATAATTCAGTATTAACTGAATTATGTTAAATGTTTGCCAAACATGTAACATAATTCAGTATTAACTGTAACTCCATGTAAAGTGAATAAATGTGATGTTTCCCAGCTAATCCCCCGCTTGTCTGTGTGAACGACACAGTTTTCATGTTTTTTGGCTTCTGATTTATTAAAAACTAAACTAAAAACATGATGCTGAATTTAGCAGCAGACCTCAGTAATATTTATATGAAGTAGTAGTATAAGAAACAACTTTTGGAATTCTTTTTTTTTTTTAATGGTATAAAAGAAGTATGGTAAATCAGTAACACGTTCTCAGCCCTAATGACTAAATACATATTTCATGGTATGTTGCTGGCTTTATTTTAAAATGAGCAATTTTCTAATGTAGGTAATGTAGGTTGCCACTGCTCACAAGAAGCTTAGCTGTACACAAGTAAAAATGAAGGAGCTTTTTGATCGAAAACTGAATCTTGCATGTTTGAACTAGTAAATCAGGTTTTAGCTTTGTTGCTTCTGGTAGGTTCATCCTTTCAGGCAAAGATTAGTGGGCCTTACACAGTTAAGAGCCATATGTCAGATAGGGCCTATTAAGTGTACACACCAGACAGAAGGAAGAAAATTCAGTCGTGTCATGTAAATTTATTGAAGCCCTATCATTCTGCTAACTCTGCCTCTCAGGTAGAAGGTAATACTGTAAGGTCAAATTTAACTGTGAATTTAGCAAAGTATGAGTTTGCTAAAGCAACAGCAACAACTATGTTGGCATGGTTGTAGGCCAGGGTGAAGTTCATCCTGTGCAGGCTAAGGTGGAGGCTATTGATTAATATCAGACGGAGAAAGACTGTACATTTAATACTTTTTTGCTGTGTCTCGAGAAACTCTTGTGGTTTTATTTACAAACCCTTTTTTGTTCTGAGTGCATGTTTAAAACACTGCCAGAAATTGAGTTTTGTTTGGTTGATAGCAGTGCCGTAATGGAAACACGTGAGCCAGGCTAAGCAAGATTGTTTAACTTGTATGTGATTTAACTGGTTTCATTGGTTAGTTGGCTTCGCCAAAGCTGTGTTTAGTTTGCTAATGTTGTTCACAGACCGATTCTTGCACACAACGAAACAATCTCTGCACTAATCCAGACCGTTTGCAGCACATATCACATTCACATAGACTTATTAACAAATAGGCTTTCAACAGAGCTACACCCAAAGAGGCAACTGTCCTTTTGTCTTTGTCCTGACCACATGGTAAGACAAGACCTCCCCCTATCTGAAGCCAACTTTGATTCGGCCATCTTGTAGTTCTCTGTTATCAGCCATTTTGTTTTGTAGGCCAAACAGCCCTTTGATCACCACACCCGCCTTTGTCTCTCTCTCTCTCTCTCTCTCTCTCTCTCTCTCTCCCTCTCTCACACACTCACACACACACACACACACACACCAAGGTTGTATATAGTTTGTTTGTTAGAATTTGTGTGTTTGGTTTTGATTTGCTATTTTAGGCTATGAATAAATATAATTCTTTGGAAACATACCTGCTGTCTGTTTAATGTTGCACAAGGGTGAGTGAATAGTCAACTTCTGCTGCGCCAAGAACTCCGAAATCCTTCAGGCTTTACTTTTAAGTTTGGTTATGCTTATTATCTAATTATTAATCAAAATTCCAAATTAATAGTTTAGCGTATTTTATGAGACTGATATCTTTAACTGGCTATCATTTTCCCTTTCCGGGAATGTTAATTAAGTCACATTATTTAACATAATTAGCAATTATTATTAATAATTATTAATTATTTCCGATAGCCAATTTACAACATTAATGGTGTCCCCTTGGTGAGGCCTAATATTGATGTTCCCAACATAACTGGTGCCTCTATGTGATGCCTAGAAATGTTGATCCCTACATAATTGGTGCCTCCATGTGACGCCCTAACTTATGTTCCCTACATAATTGGTGCCTCCGTGTGACGCCTACATTTATGTCCCCAACAACAGTAATCCGTATGACATAATAAGACAGAAAGAGAGACAGAGACAGAGAGAGATGCAGGACAGACGGTAATAATAGCTTACAACAACATTAATGTGAATGAACCGAATGCCATGATTACTTCCAATATTTGTTTAGGTACTTAAGCCTGGACACAGTGGTGGTTCCTGCCTGGGCGAACTTATCCCACAGTAGTGGTACCTGAGGTACCGTAGTACTATGGTACTCCAACAATGCTAGCGCGGGTGGCAACCAATCATGTGGGACATGGTCTCAATTTACGTGATGCGTGAAAAGAGACAGAAATACTGTGCAGTCGCACACAATGCGAGACGTCTGGTCACCCTACTTAGCGACTCGCAAGCAGCAGCTAGTAGGGGACCCCATTAGGGGGGATTCCAACGTGTTGTCGTTGTTGCAGTGTCTGTAGGGGTTCCATCATATTGTCATTGATATGGACCAATGTCAGCTGTCTCTGGGGGCCCCCTTCCATCTCGGGGCCCTAGGCAATTGCCTAGTTTGCCTGTCCGGTTGCGATGGCCCTGGACATAGTAATTGTTATGGACAGTATGTATCACGCTGCTCGCACAGCAGCACAGCACAGCACTGAACACACAGTCTATGGAGCGGAGCCTGTGTTGCATTCAGGTGTTGTCACGTAAATAACAAATTCCAGCACTTGAATAGGCCATAGCTCCTGCCGCCCCCTACACTTCGCGACAAAGTGCCAACCTGGGCAAACGCCCATTTGACCCATATCAGGATCCGCTACTGCCTGGACACAACCACTTGCATGGCCAACAAGTATTGTGCATGTATCAATGCCCGAACCATGAACACACACACACACTGTAGTTTATTTTGACTCAATCCAACATACATCATCCTGCTGCCAAAAATACTAAAATGGTCCCCAACAAATGCAATGTTTCCTCACATTTGATGAAATATGTGAATGATGCTGCTGTATTCTCTCTGAAGTCAGTGAGACCAAAATACAGACTTGATAGAGAAATATCAAAAAAAGGAAAAATCCAAAACGCCATAGAGGAGCATGCTATCGAGGTGGACAAAATAACATTAACAGCTAAAGATATGCAATTCAGTAAAATGAAACCACACCCAAGACCCCCAAAACTTGAAGCAACATCTCAATGACACAACATGAACAAAAAAGAATATCATAAACTTTATAAAGACACTATTTATTGTTCAGTTATTTGTGCAAGTGTTCCTGATTTTTTGACCAACCTCTGTAAATTAAAAGATAGGAATCACCATAACAGAAAATTACCTTTGCAGTGTTAATGGTAGAACATCATAATGAAGTATATGTACTTATCTTGAGCTACATCTTGAGTAAGCCCATTTTATACTTCATTATACCTCTGCTCCCCTACATTTAAGAAGGAAATATTGTACCTTTTACTCTACTACATTTTTTGTAGATTCAGATTTTACATACAAAATCTATCATCTATCTTAATCTGTCATTTTACAAAGAGGACACATTGTTGCAGTATTTTAAATTGTTAAAAATTACTCCACCTCCACACAACATTAAAATGCTGCTTACATGTTAAAGAATTAGTGATAATAATCCAATAATATAATGTGTAGTGATATAAGATTGAAAGGGTCATTCTACATAAGTACTTTCATTTTTGATACTTTAGTTATTTTTATCTGATAATACTTATTTGCTTTTGTTTTGGAAGCATAATGTATACTTTACATTGTGGTATTGCTACTTTTAATTAAATAAAAGATCAAAATACTTCTTCCACCACTTAATAAATATCTTGATAAGAAAAAATCTCACAATATTTATTTAGCATTTGAAGTTATCCAGTTCCCTCTGCCAGCATTCCTATTTGTAAAATCAACTCCAGAGTGAATTTTTAATAATCTGCTAAGAAAAGACAAACTCCAGGTGTAGTGGCTGCCTACTGTGCTGCTGCTCATCAGCTCTCACCTGATAGGCCACCATGTTGAGGAAGTAGTTGTAGACACCACTGTGGTTCATCCCTTGAGTGGCTGACATAGTTCCTCCAAACTGCTTTTCATCAGCCACAACAGCTCTACATTTGGCCATGAACTTCCAGCACAAACAGGTTTTCTCAGCATGCATGCAAAGATGGCATCCTCACATCCTCAAAGAGGCCAGAACACAACTTCCAACAGGCCTGACAATGGTAAAAAAAAAAGTAGAAAGTCCAGCAGGTTGTCCCTACATGCTCCTTCTGCTGGATTAGCAGTGAATCTAGTCCGGCTGGGCTCCCTGCAGCCAAGAGCCTCAGCTTGAGCACCAGGTCCGACTGCTCTCAGTCCAGCCTCATAGTGGAACAAGTTATTTTATTTGCCCATATCCAGTGTGCTTTGGCTCTGCGGCTGTGCTGGATGCTGCCAGAAAAGAGGGAGAGGTGGTGGCGAATGCCCAGTGCCCTCCCCCATCCTACCCAGTCAGATTAGGCAAAGAGTCTGTGAGGGGAGGAGGTAGTGAGAAGGAGGAGGAGGAGGAGGAGGAGGAGGTGGTTGACAGGGACCATGTGTCAGTCCCATCTGTCCCTCACTTCCCCTCCCCCTGCACTTTACAAACTCCACAGTACAATGAGACTGGACAATACTCATGTTTAATCCAGATTTACTAAATTAAACAATTCCCTCTGTGTGATGTCTAGATGCTGATGCCTGACACCTTGCAGCCCCCTACCTACCTACAGAACCCCGCACACCTGCTCCAAGTCTGAGTTACTGTGTGTCACTCACAGAAAGGCCACATCAATAATCCTAACAAGTTATCACAACTGCTGCATTATGACCCAGAAATGATGAAGTGGGACGAACTGGGCAGGGCTGTCTGTGATGGAACTAACAGAGACAGTGCACATTAGGAAACATGCTCACAGCAACAGGCCCATGGATTTTTTTGGGTGCTCTTATGGAAGGCTGCAAAGGCACCAGGCAGAGAATAAAGACCGCATCTAATGTTTTAGCATTCAAATGATTTGCACTTTTAATGTACTGTTATCATACAATGTCTGCCACTACCATTCACTTCATTCCATTAGATATAGAAGTTTTGGAATAGATTCCTTGAAAGCATTAGGAACTAATAATAAATTTGACAACATTTCTTATTTCATGCAAGTTTGCTGTGCTGGAGTGTTTGTTGTCGTTTCCCACAGCCTGTTTGTGTTTAGGTCTGCCTGTGTGCTTTTCAGAAATATTTCTCATTTTTATTGTTTGTTCAGAGTAAGAAGTCTGACACCAGAGGTGGAAAAAGATTTCTAATTATTTACTCATGTAAAAGTAGCGATACCACAGTCTTAGAATACTCCTATTCGAGCCTACATTAAAAAATAATCCATCCACAATTAAAAGTCTATTGAATGAAACATTTAGCTCAGGTAAAGCAGTATTAGAAACAAAATGTACTTAAAGGATCAAAAGTAAAGTACTCATAATAACACAACAAAGCCTTTATAAGATTTTAAAATCTGATTCAGCATATCCCAACATATTGTATATTTGAGCTACACTGAGCAGTTTCTTTAAAAGACTTTCTTGTTTTGTTCTGTTTTGATCCTTTTCTTTTTGGTGGAAATAAAACTGAATAAAACTTTGTAAACCCTAACAACCCAAAGGGGGGTTGTTTTTCAAGTTCAGATATAATATTTTTCAATTCTAACAATCAATCAGACCAGACAACACACTGCAATTTCAGTTTTTTCCCCTGAATTTAAGTGATAATTTTTCTTTTTAATTTTGGTGACATCCTTGTTGATAATCAATTGTTTGCAATTAACAAACAGTTTGCAGTTATTGTTAGCACTATTAAAACTTAGTTTAATGATAAAACACTGAATCACTTTCTTCGTCCTGGAAAGAAGGATGAGCAGTTGATCAAAATCAACTTATCAAAGCAGTTTGGAGCTGGATATGTGTAAAAGACACACAGGTGTTTCCTGGTTGGCACAACAGCAGTGAAATGAAATGATGTGTATGGTAGCTGTTGAAAAGCGCTGAGCACATAAGGAGAGAGTCGGATTAGATTTGGGTTAGTGCGCAGGGCGGAGCGCCAGGATAATCCCATCGCTCTTCAGCCCTCCTCTCAGTCAGGATGACCTTCAGCGGCAGACAGGACAGCAGTATCTCTGGCCTGTTACACTGTGAGTCCTAATACACTTTTCTCCACATAATAAATGCTGTTTCTGCAGATGAAACGATAAAGGGCAGAGTGTCCTCAGTACAGCCTCTTTCTCAGTCTCACTTGTTGAATTCAGATTACTCACTGAAGATTACTTACTGAAATAAACAGCAGGTAATGCACAACAGTTAACCCACTGCACCGTCAGATCTCCAGAGACATATTTGAGAGAGATCTGTCTGTGCTATTATTATTGTCATGCAAATCCATAAACTACAAACCACATACATATACATATACAGTGGGAGGGCATTGAGGTGTTGCACACCTACAAATATCTGGGGGTCCTCTTGGATGATAAGCTGGACTGGTCCTCTAACACTGACGCCCTCTACAGGAGGGGGCAGAGCCACCTGTTCTTGCTGCGGACACTGAGGTCTTTTGATGTGTGTGTGGATATGTTGACCATGTTCTATCACACGGTGGTGGCCAGCAGTGCACTCCTCTACGCTGCAGTGAGCTGAGGAGGCAACTTGATGGACAAAAACACCAAGCGACTGAACAAGCTGGTTAAAAAAGCTGTCTCAGTGCTCAGCAGGAGACTGGACCCATTATGAACTGCGGTGGAGACGGGCACATTGAACAAACTGAAAGCTATAATGGACAATAGCAGACACCCTCTCCACAGCCTCCTGGAGTGACAGAGGAGCAGCTGCAGCAGTCAGCTCATCTCACTGCGTTACAGAATGGAGCATTTCAGGAGATCCTTTGTCCCCACAGCAATAAGACTTTAACACCACCTGAATCCAGTCACACACACACACTCATACACACATCGCATTAGCCACAACTGGACTATGGAATGGGCAATTTTATTCTAATTTAATTTCTATTTATGCACTTATTTTAATTAATAAAAATTAAATTTTTAATTTTATGTCTATTTTAATACCACTATATTGTTGCTGATGAAGGGAAGTGTGGTTGTTGTTTTTTTTTGGTCTTTTATGAGCTGCTGGACAGCTGAATTTTCCTTCGGGGATGAATAAAGTTTTTTCTATTCTATTCTATTCTATATGTGTAGGCCTACTGTCAACTCAAGTCATTTAATGTTTTTAACAAATACAATAAAAATCCTCCAAACAGCAGTTAATGCTATAAAACTTAATCAAAATAAATCTAAAATCTAAAAAAATGTAAAAATATCTAAAGGCTTGGGACACTGCATTGCCTGGTATTTCTGTAGTTAGACTACTGCAGGAACAAGTCCTTAAACCCTGAAATGATTTAGAATTTTAGCGCTCCTGGTTCCCTTGTATTGAAGATAATGGGATTTTTGAATGGGTTTTCAGTTAGGTGCCTGAAATAAGGTCTGTGGTTAAAGGATAACTTAGGTATTTTTCAACCTGGGCCCTATTTCCCCATGTGTATGTGTGCGTATGATTCATAGGTACAACTCGTTTTAAAATTGGTTCAGTATTGAGGGGGGCGGATGCAGCCGGCAGCCGCAAAACGAGCTAAAACGGTAGATATGGAGGCAAATGCGTCCCGTAAAAGTTTGCACATTAAAAGTGCTTTTTTCGCCACTTACCGGTTCAGATCGCCAGTGCTATCTCTGTAAATAGCATACTAAGCGTTTCCCTTACCCTTCACTTCCTCTGGGCTGTGTGTGAGGGTCCAAGTCCGCACCCTGAGGTTATAAACTAAGCAGAAGGGGGGGGGGGGGGGGGGGGGGGGGGGGGGGGGGGGGGGGGGGTGAGGACTAGTGAGCATCAGAGCCACTATCCAGGATGAAACATCCAAAATCCAAGAGTACATCAAGAAGATGGCCCCAAAGGATGAGCTGCTAAGTGAATGCCTCAGACAACAGAAACCTGGTGAGGGTAAAGGGGTATTGGAGCAAACAAAATGGAGGGACAAGCCCCTTCATGGTGCATACCACTGTCAGATAGAGGAATGGCTGATATCAAGAAGACCTACCAGTGGGTGGAGAATGTTGGACTGACAGACAGCACAGACGCACTAATCATCCCAGCACAAGAACATACCCTAAGCACAAGGGCCATAGAGGCCAGGGTCTACCACAGCAGATCAGACCCAAGGTGCAGGCTGTGCAAAGATGCCCCTATGACAGTCCAGCACATAGTGGCAGGGTGTAAGATGCAAGCAGGATCAGCGTACATGGAGAGGCACAACCAAGTGGCTGGGATAGTGTACAGGAACATCTGTACCCAGTACGCAATCCTAATGGGACACACCACCAAAGGTGGTTGAGAACAACAAGGCTAAGATCCTGTGGGACTTTAGCTTCCAGACTGACAAACAGCTGCTGGCTGACCAACTGGACATAGTGGTGGTTGACAAACACCAGAAGAGGTGGTGGTCGATGTGGCAATACCAGCTGACAGCAACATCAGAAAGAAGGAACACAAAAAGGTGAAGAAGTATTAAGGGTTGAAAGAACAGCTGGAACAGAAGGTCAAAGCTGACGTGGTCTCTGTGGTAGTAGGAGCACTCTGGGCAGTGACCCCCACACTGGGAGAATGGCTCCGGCAGATTCCAGGAACAACATCTGAAGCCTCAGTTCAGAAGTGTGCAGTCCTAGGAACAGCTAAGATACTGTGTTTATATATATATATATATATATATATATATGCATACATACATACAGTATATATATCGGTGTGTGAGTGTGTTAAAAACCAGTGCATGAATGGGTGAATGCAATTCATAGTGTAAGTGCTTTGAGTCATCAAATCTATACAAACACAGGTCCATTTTTTAAATGAGTATTCTATTATCTGCTATCTGAAACACATTTATGAATTTTGAAAATTTAACATCCAAAACAGAATAAATATGGTTGGTTTTAGAATATATTTTGTGACAAAATAATAATTGAATTGTGCTATTGAACTAATTCTAAATGCAAACATTTCACCTTGCAAACATACTTTATCTGCCTTAACAAAACAAGTTAGCTTTTGATTTGCACCGACTGTTAGCATTTTATCATACAATTGACCTTTTTTGTTAGAAATTTACTCCTCTTTGGGGGACAGCATGAGTTCACTTTCAGCATTTCAGCATAACTAGTTCTGTGGCTGTGTAAAACCACCCAGGTGTGGATTAAGAGGAGGCAGAAAGTTACTTGGGGCAGAGTGAAAGATGTCACATTTCTGTAAGTTTGTGTTCTGTCTGTTCAATATGTGTTTGATAAACTGATCATACTGTCTCAGACA